AGTTAGATTTTGCACTGAATTTCTTTATCCATGGCTAGTCTTTCCTAATACTAAACTCTGGGCTCAAGATAGAGGCAGTCATACCTCCTGTAGGCTGCTGTATTCACAAAAAGGAGCATCTCACTTCAGACCAACAATAGTTATGTAATTCTGCCTCACCTCTACCTAGCCAGGTAACACAATTGAAGGCCACAAGTGCTATAACACAAATGAACGCTGAGGACTTTGTGCTAAATGAAACAAGCCTGCCACAGAATGACAAATGCTGCATTACTTCCCTAACATGAAATACCTAGAACAGTAAATTCATTGAAGACGAGCAGTGGTGGTGACTGCAGAACAATGTGAATACTTAGTACCTGCCACGGAGCCATGCATTTCAAAATGGCCAATTTTATGCTATGTATACTTACCACAATAAAAAAGGGTCAAATTAAAATCAATTCTCTGGCTAAACGTAGTTGGTATCTAGAGTCTTTAGTCAATAAGTATTAACTACCATCCACTGCCTTAGAAATCTACAACTTTCTCAGAAAACCTATATAAATACAATTTATGACCTGATTGCTGATAAGAGCAATTCAGAAGTAAAATATCCAACAATTAGGATATTAGCCTAAAATGGCAGAGGTCAACTTTTAGTGGACTTTTGCACGCATGGCAAAGCACGAGTTGGAAAGGCGCGACTTTTCTACTATAAAGCTCAAGTGAAGAACCTGTTTTCCTAGAGTTCTAAGTAAAAGAACCCAGGGGTACAGAGAGAAGGGAACACTTAAAAAATGGGCCCCTACACTTCTATCAGGGATGCCTCAGAGAGGAACAAAAAGTGAACATTTTCTAAGCAGAAAGGCATAAACTAAAATATTTCTGAGTAAAACATTTCAGTCATAGAAGGATGAAAGAACTGAGAGGGACAGAGCCTCATTTCGCCCATGGCAACTACCATTGCAGGCTATAAAGACTTAACATATCTCCCTTCCCCGAATAAGGGATCTGAATAAGGAAGTCTAATGCAGTAGAAAGCTGGGGGATAAAATAGCTGAAATGAAGTACAAGGTCTAGAAGTGAGATCTTAGTGCCAGTAGCTTCATATGGACCTGGTTCCTGTACCCCAGAACCTTCTTTCCAGAGTACATGCCACCCCTGTTTCTAGAACTGAACTTCATTTTTTTCTCATTGTTTTTGTTATGTACTAATAGTAGACTTCTACAGGTCTAATATTCTAGCATTTGATTCTAGCAGGCATTCCACTGCAGTGTAGTAGTAGAACCTTATTCTTCCCCAAATGTGTTATCATCATGTTTATCATCATTAAGCATTAGGAAATAACAAATCAAAACCACATGAGATAGCACCTTAAACACATTAGGATGGTCACTAGCAAACACATAGATCACTCAACAATAAACACTTTGACTCTACTTAGATGAGGTATTTAAATCATCCAACTCCTATCAACAGAACATAAATGATGGTTACTAGAGCTGCTGGGCGGAGGACAACAGCAGGGGGTTCTGAGTTTTAGTCATGAAAGATGAAAAGTTCTAGAAACTGCTTACAACAATGTGCAGTTGACAGTACTGTTGTCAGGTACAGATATAAATTGTTACAAGAGTAAATTTATGGTTTGGGCTTTTCACATCCCATCCTTATTCACCAAACTGGAAAAAAAAAGCCTTGGAAGGATCAGTTAAAGTAGTTGCATGTAGAATAAATTACTACTGTGTAAGCCATCTCAGTCTGAAAATTCACTTCGGTCTAAAGACTACAAATATAGTCACATTTCACTCTCCTTTGTTTTACCAGAATAATAAGTTCAAGAACAAAACTGCTCTCAATAATCTGTTTAAAAAGCAAACAGTATTTAGAAAACTTTTGTGCATTTTGGAGACAAGGTCTTCCTATGGAGCCCAGTCTTACCTCAAACATAATCTTCCTGGTCCCAGCCTCCCCAAAGGCAAAATAGGTTTATTCCACTTTACTCAGTATATTGTTAAGTGTAAGAAGGCTCAGGTAAGAAACATTTTTATAGGTCTGGAGGGCAATTCCCCTTCTGTGTACATATTACACAACTGTTTAAATTGGAGTTATAAAGCAATCGTCAATCCAAGCATTTGACTCATTTAGTTCACATCTACATATGGTCCCGAAAGTCCAGGTGGGCTTTCCTACTAATCTGTCTGCACATATTTCATGTACTAGCATTGGTCACACAAACAGAAATGGTAAAAGAAAATTATGGTGAAAAGTAAATCAAAATGCAATACTATTCACTTAAGATAGAATTTTGATCATAAATACCATGTACCACACATATCAACAAAATACAGAAACATTAAACAAAGCAAACAGAAGCCAAAAGACTTATGAAGAAAATGTACCAATAATATGTTATCAATGGACTTTATGATGAAATTTGTGCCCTCATACCATTTTTTTCTGGTATTGGGGCTTGAACTCAGGGGCCTCACAGCCCCTCTGTATTTAAGTTTGAATAGAGGTGCCTCTGAATATATCTAAGTCTCTTTAAAAAGTTACAAAAAATGAGTGAAGACTGTTATTATTAATTACTGGTATTGAAACAAGGACTTACTACTTAGGTATATTTTCATAAACTCTCAAGTTAGTTTTAGTCAAGGTGACAGGTGAGGCTGAAATACCAAGTTTGGGATAATGGTAGAAAGATGCAAGTTGGGTTTCACTTATTATTTATAATGATTGGCAACAGAAGTGATGGAGCAGTTGGGCAACAGGCAGAATGGCTTAGCCTGACTTAGGTGTTGCTCTAGAACATATTGAGAGAGAACTCAAACAGGCCTAACCAGAGCATCAGTGGTGAGTGATGCACAGTCTATGCACAGTTCTCTGGCTCTAGAAAATATTTAATTTCTTTAAGTGACCCTGGAGAAAAGATAATCACCCTTCAACCTTTTTTCTTTCGCTTTCCATATGAAGGAAGAAGTCACTATCAGATGATGTTAGCATGGAAGAGAGAGAAAAGCTGCCTTTCTGCTTCATGTGAGAAAGAAAGCTACCAGCTAATGAACATTTATTGTAACAGGCTCTTGCTGAGTGCTTCCTCAGACAATCCGAGGAGACTGTCTCACAGAGATGAAATAATTTGCTGAGGCTCCAAAAGGTAGATGGCAACATGATTTTCTGGTGTGATTTTGCCCTTCTAAACAAAAACCATGAGTTAAACAAGGAACATTCCTGAAATACTAGTTATGAGGTTAAAAGCATATTTGTACTTTTCATTTTTATTTAATGTTTGCTTCCCTTTTCCAATTAGACTGCTTTTCAAATCTGTAGACACGTGATTGAAAGAATACAGTGTGACAAGGTGTTTATTATTGCTGCTTCTTGGGTGGCTGCGGTATGCACCTTATGATTAACACTAGAGTAGTTTAGGCATGGCACAGGCCCAGCGTGACACATCTTAACCTGTTTTATGGTTTGAGTGGGGAATTACCAAGGTTTTGTAAAACCTTAAAAACCAATGTAAGACTTTCACAGTGGTTAAAAATACATGTATGATTATGTTAAGACATAAAAGACTTGAAACCTTTTTTTCTAAGAGTTCTAGGAATATTCTTTCATCCATTCATTTATAGCCTAAATGAATAAAGGTACAAAATTAAAACAGAGTTTTGGTAAGGGGAAAAAGAGAAAAATGAGGAAGGGAAACTAATACACTAAGGGAAGAAAACTTGAATGTTGATGGAGTTAACTTTGCTAAAGAAACTAGGAAAGTGAGACTGGTTTCCTGAGTAGGCTGGTATTAGAAATTGTCCTGTATATGCTATATGCATGTAAGTTCCCTTTTTATTTATTTTTTTATTGCCTCTTTTTGCTCAAGGCTAGCACTCTTACCACTTGAGCTACAGCGCCACTTCTGGCTTTTTCTGTTTATGTGGTACTGAGGAATGGAACCCAGAGCATGCATGTGAGGCAAGCATTCTACCACTAAGCCACATTCCCAGGCCAATGTATGTAAGTTCTTACAAGACAGACCTTTATTTGTGAAACTCTTCTACATAGAACTCTGTTCATTAGAATATGTATGAAAATGAAAAATGCTATGATAATATGCTAACAGCATTTTATGACTAATAGCACAATTGGAGACTCACAAATCTATAAAAATGAGGACATACTTTTAAAGTCTACCTGTTTGAATATTATATAAAAGGGAGATTAAAAAACATGAACTTCAAGAGGATGCACTGGAAAACAGGAGAGATAATGATATTCCTGGCCCTGCAGGAGACTTGTATACAGATACTTCAGAGCCTGTATTCACCCCAACACTGGGATGCTGTTAATATATGCCCAATAAAGATTGATTTCTGGCACCACAAGACAAATGTATTTTTTAAAAATATTACTTACTTTTTTCTGTAGGCAAAAATATCAAAGAAGAGAAGCACAAAATGATCAGGAAAAAAAGAAAACCACTGGAAGAGAGTGTTCATGTTCTGTGTTTTAACTTCACAAAAGAATTTTTCCTAGTGATTATAGCCTTTCCAACCTCTTGTCATTCAGGATATGTAATTCTAATCCATTGGCAAGACCAGTGGAGGCTCAGGCGTAATCAAATATGCTGACTAGCTGAAACTAGAGGTGCTTCACTTCCTCACTTCTGGTTTACATCTCCACCTACTCTCACTTGAGAATTATGATAGTCACTTGCTGTGTAAGATTCGAAAAGTCCAAGTGGGGGAGAAGAATGAGTGGGCTCCTAGCTGAGTTTAGCAGATGAAAAGTTACATCATCCCAATTTACCTCGGTCCCCTGTCTTGGGAATGGCTGAATTTTATATAAAGCCTATTTATAAACCACTGCAAGTGATACTTGCATTCATCTTACACTGTGACACCATTTTCTCATCAATAATGTAAGCCTAAGAAATGGATTAAAGAGACTCTGAAGGGCCTTCTCATACATGGAAAAAGAGAAACCAACTCAACTCTTCAGATATATGAATTCAGTCCTCTTACCTTGTTCTTTGATCTGGCGAATTTGCTTCACAGTTTCTTTTAAGATTGCACATTTGTCAGGTTTGAAGTTAAAGTTGTCTATATCATTAAAATTTGCAAAAATAAGCTCTGCAAGTTCTTCAATATACTTATTTTCCTGTTCACGATTACGTTTCTCAGTATTTCTTTTGGGGCTAAAAAGAAGAAACACATTTTTATTATGTATTTGAAACTGAGCTATTATGAAAAAATATGTAATAAAAATTTTTTTGTGCCATACTAGGGCTTGAACTCAGGGTGCTATTCCTGAACTTTTTTGCTCAGGGCTAGTACTCTGCCATTTTAACCACAGTTCCACTTAGGCAGAAGCCACCAGCAACTAGCTGATAAACCAATTTTATTTTATTTTATTTTACTTTTTGTCGGTCATGGGGCTTGAACCCTGGGCTTGGGCGCTGTCCCTGTGCTCTTCACCTCAAGGCGAGCACTCTACCGCTTGAGCCACAGCGCCACTTCTGGTTTTCTAGTGGTTTACTGCAGAGAAGAGTCTCACGGACTTTCCTGCCTGAGCTGGCTTTGAACTGTGATCCTCAGATCTCAACCTCCTGAGTAGCTAGGATTATTAGGTGTGAGCCACCGGCGCCCGGCTGATAAACCAATTTTAATACAGACATGACAAATAAAAGCTACCTATATAAACACAGAAGTTCTTTGGCTGGGGAAAGGGAGGTTGTCCAAAAATATTGCATGCCCTTTAAAACCTACACTTGCCAGGTGCCAATGGTTCATGTGTAATCCTAGCTAATTTAAGAGGCTGAGATCTGAGGATCATAGTTCGAAGCCAGTCCAGGCAGGAAAGCCTGTGAGACATTTATCTCCAGTATATTACCAAAAATAAAAAAATAAATAAAAGCCAAAAGTGGAGTTGTGGCTCAAGTGGTAGGATACTAACCTTGAGCAAAAGCAGCTCAGGGATAGTACCCAGGCTCTGAGTTCAAGCTCCAGGACTGGGGAAAAAAAACTATTAAAAAACAAGCCTAAGTTTATACTACTACATAGTTATATATTTATAACTTATGTAATTAAATAATCAATGTGCCTACTGTCTCACACTGGGCTGTCAGATTCTACACGACCACGATCTGCATGATTATGGTCAATACTGTCCTTACTTGATGAAGTTTCACACAAGTGGGAACTGGATTTATTGTTATTCAAATAAAGAAGGCTCACTTTGAACCATGGTCCTCAGATCTCAGTCTCCTGAGTAGCTAGGATTATGGGCATGAGCCACCAGCACCTGGCTAACATGTTATTTATTTATTTATGCCTTTTCTGGTGTTTGAACAAACAGGGATTTTTACTCTCACTTGGCTTGTGATCATGCTCTACCATGTGAGTCAAGCCTCTAGTTACCTGGAGACAGAGTATCAAGACTTTTCTGCCTGAGCTGGCTCTGAGCTGCAATTCTCAGACCTCAGCTTCCTGAGTAGCTAGGATTATAAGTATGGCTACTCACACCCAGCTAGGGAGGTTACATTTGTAAAAATTTTACTTTAGATAACTAAAAGAAGAAAGCTATTATTCCCAGTTATAAAAAATTGCAATGACTTTCTTGTAAAACATTGAGATATTAAAAAAGAAATCTTTATAATTGTATAGGCTTTTAAAAAGTGTTAGTAATCAAATCCTGCAGCCTCTGTAGATAATACAAGAAGTTACAACAGGCAGCAAAAGTGAAACTAATAAAGCATATTTGTTAACTGTCCAAGCTGAATGACATATGAAATTCAAAGGGTCCAAATTCAAGTAAAGAGTTAAAAAGTCAATGGAGAAGGAAAATACCAAAATTGGCAAAATCATCTCATTTAAATAGAATAGCAAACTCAGATATAACTGTATAATTGTTTTGTACAAGTACAGTGAAAGACCCACTAAATGATATTCAAAACACTAAAAGAATTGTTTAATAAAATAGAAGCTGCTTGAATTTTATTTATTTATTTATTGCCAGTTCTGGGGCTTGACTTAGGAATCAGGCACTACCCTGAGCTTTTGTGCTCAAAGCTAGTATTCTACCACTGTAACCGCAGCTCCACTTCTGTCTTTTTTTTTGGTCGGTCGTGGGGGCCTTAAGTCTGGGCCTGGGCGCTGTCCCTCAGCTCTTCAGCTCAAGGATAGCACTCTACCACTTGAGCCACAATGCCACTTCTGGCTTTTTATGTTTATGTGGTGCTGAGGAATTGAACCCAGGGCCTCATGCATGCAAGGTAAGCACTCAACCACTGAACCATCTTCCCAGCCCCCATTCTGTCTTTCTGATGTTTAATTGGAGGTAAGAATCTCACAGACTTTCCTTCATGGGCTGGCTTTGAACCGTAATCCTCTCAGCCGCCTGAGTAGCTAGGATTACAGGTATGACCCACTGGCACCCAGTTGCTTCTTTTATATGTAATTGAATATATTAATAAAAAAATTTTGCAATTCATAATATATTTCTATATATTTGTCTCTAAATATCAGTTTTCTCTCCTTTTCTCCTGCCCATCTGTCTGTCTGTCTGTCTGTCCATCTTGGGGCTGAACTCAGATGCTGGGCATGGTCCCTAAGCTTTTTTGGTCAAGGCTAGTGCCCTACCACTTTGAGCTACAGTACCACTTCTGGTTTTCTAGTGCTTAATTGGATATAAGAGTCTCACAGGCTTTTCTGCACAGGCTGGCTTTGAACCATGATCCTCAGATCTCAGTCTCCTGTGTAGCTAGGATTACAGGTATGAGCCGCAAGCACCTGGCTATTTCTTTTTATTTTATAATCACTTGTGTGTGTGTGTGTGTGTGTGTGTGTGTGTGTATGTGTATGCATGCACGTGTGCACATACGCTGATCCTGGGACTTGAACTCAATGCCTGGATGCTGTTGAGCTTTGGTGCTCAAGGGTGATGTTTTACCACTTGAGCCACAGTTCTACTTCTGCCTTTTTTTGGTAGTTAATTAGAGATAAGAGTCTCAGACTTTCCTGCCTGGATGTCTTTGAACTGTGATCCTCATATCTCAGCCTTCTGAGTATCTAGGATTACAGGCACATATATATTTTGCATTTACAGAAGTGTATCATAGAAAAATTCTTAGAAGGAAAAATGCTAGGATAAAACAGGATATTGCCAATGCCAGTGGCTCATGCCTTTAATCCGAAGCTACTCAGGAGGCTGAGATCTGAGGATTATGGTTCAAAATCAGCCTGGGCAGGAAAGGCTATGAGATGCTTCTCTCCAATTAACACTAAGTGACAGGTTCTAAGTTCATGCTCCAGCACAAAAATAACAGAAAAGTAAAATCAAAACCAAACCAAAGCAAAAAAAAAAAAATCAACACAATGAGGATAGGCATGTATAATTCTGATAAAGCCAAATTAGCCTGCATGGAGAGTCTAACAATTCTCACTATCATCCATACTTGCTTAAAAATTTTTTTGCACTTAAGACCTACAATCTGTTCTAATGAAAATAAAACAATGCAGCATAAAACACAGCAAATCATTTTACTACAGCATTTCTTTTTTATCCTTATCTTTTCTTTTGTTTTTTTGTTTTTGTTTTTTTGGTCCGGTCATGGGGCCTGAACTCTGGGCCTGGGAATTGTCCCTCAGCTCTTTCAGCTCAAGGCTAGCACTCTACCATTTGAGCCACAGTGCCACTTCTGGCTTTTTTCTTTTTTGCTTATTTGGTGCTGAGGAATCAAACCCAGGGCCTCAGGCATACTCTACCACTGAGCCACCTTCCCAGTCCCCTTATCTTTCCTTTTGAAGTATTGTGGTTTAACTCATGGTTTCATACTTGCTAGGTAGGTGCTCTACCACTTGAGCCACACCACCAACCTCCATACTGTGCTTTTTTTTTTTGTTGGTCGTAGGGTCTGAACTCTGGGCCTGGGCACTGTCCCTCAGCTCTTCAAATCAAGGCTAGTGCTCTACCACTTGAGCCAGTGCCACTTCCGGCTTTTTCTGCTTATGTGGTGCTGAGGTATGAAACCCAGGGCCTCATGCATGCAAGGCAAGCACTCTACCTCTGAGCCACCTTCCCAGCCCACTACAGGATTTCTCATAACATTCTATGACGTAAGAGGAAAACATACATTGATTATAGAGCAAATGAACTGACTATAAAAGTACAGAGGGGCATCAAAAAGTATACAGTTTCCCAGGGCACCCGGGGCTCATGCCAGTAATCCTAGCTATGCAGGAGGCTGAGATCTAAGGATTGTGGTTCAAAGCCAGACTGGGCATGAAAGTCTGTGAGATTCGTATCTCCAATTAACCTCCAGAAAACTGGAAGTAGAGCTGTGGCTCAAAGTGGTAGAGCATTTGCCTTGAGCAAAAGAGCTCAGCACTAGGCCCCACAAATGACAAAAAAAAAAAAAAAAAGCAGTATATCATTTTTTAGCCAGGAACAGTAGCTTATGACTATAATTTTACCTCCTCAGGAGGCTGAGATATGAGAAGCAGGATTTTTGAAGCCAGATTGGGCAGGTGAGTTTATGAGACTCCTATCTCCAAAAAGCTACCAAGAATAAAATCCCCAAATCCAAAAAACCGTAAAGCTTTGGCTCAAGTAGTAGAGCACTAGCCTTGAGCAAAAGAAGTGCAAGGATAGTGCTCAGATTTTGAATTCACACCCCAGGATCAGCACACACAAAAAAAGCATATGGTTTTCTTCTGAGTGTAAAGAAAAATAAAATCGGTAACTGATTAGTATATTTGAAATTTAAGCTACTGCTACTACAATATTTAGAAGTTCAGTTGTAAAGGAGAAAAACCAAACATGGTATTTGAATTAGTAGTAAATGCTAAAATAACCCCGACCCCACCTGAACTCCCATCACCTCACTTCCTACCCCAAGACCCTCCTGATACTTGGATAGTGGAGGCCGCCATGTGCTCTCTCTCCGGGGCAAATATGGCTCCTCTAATAAACCTTGTAATACTCTTTCTCCTGTGCCTGCCTGCTTCTGCATGATCCCCTCAGATGGATGTAATGGGTCCTTTCATAAATAATACTGATTTTTATTTTGGGTCGATCATTGGGCTTGAACTCTGGGCCTGGGCGCTGTCCCTCAGCTCTTCAGCTCAAGGCGAGCGCTCTACCACTTGAGCTACAGCGCCATTTCCAGTTTTCTGGTGGTTTATTGGAGGTAAGAGTCTCATGGACTTTCTTGCCCGGGCTGGCTTTGAACCATGATCCTCAGATCTCAGCCTCCTGAATAGCTAGGATTACAGGAGTGAGCCACCAGTGCCCGGCTGTTAATACTGATTTTTTAAAAAGTAAGACTCTAACCTGGGTCCAAGCTGATCAGGACATTCCTTTCGCTTCCTTGTCTCTGACCTGGATGGGTCAGAGGTATTTTCTCCCATCCCACTCATCTTGAACACATATCAGCAACTATAAAAGAAAACAAGGAAAAAGAAAGAGTAAATGAGCTGTTGATAAAGTGTCTGATCATTTTGTCAACAAACAACTTTGACTTTCATCAGAAATTTGACAACAGTAACAAAGCAATTAACACATTGTTTTGCTATATGTGCTTGTATAATTTGTACTTACAAAGTTGTCTTTTATTTTGTTTAACCTTGCCTAAAAGGTTAAGCAAATGGAAAGGTTAATAACATGAAACAAACCAGCCTACCTCAGTGAGTCCAGACTCTTTAGACAGGAGCTGGATTACAAAAGCACCATGAGTTGCTTTCTGCTAGACTAGGCCTAGGCTGCAGCCTGCAGTTTCAGGGGCGTTGTTGTACTATGTGGAAACTACAGGTGTTGTAAGGGGCTCCTCCCAGTCTCTGTTTTGGGTTGGCCAATGTCATGTTTGTGCTGTAATAGTTCACCTAGGGAAGAGGCAGTGCTATAATTCTAAATTGAAGGCTTCTAAATTTAGCTAGTAGATCTGACACCCATGTGTTGTCCCGGATCCCTGTGCAAGGATTCTTAAATAGTACTCCTCAAAATGGAGGCTCTCTCTTCCAGCTTCCCTTAGAAGGCTCACATGACTGGATCTCTTGCCCTTTCTTCCTCCTCCTCCTTCCTCCCCCACCTCTCTTCTTCCCCTCCCATTGTGCTGATCCCAGGACTTACACTCAAGGCCTTGGCACTATCCCTGAGCTTTTGTGCTCAAGACTAGCATTGACCACAGCTCCACTTCTGGCTTATTTTGAAAGAGTCTCATGGACTTTCCTGACCAGGCTAGCTTTGAACCACGATCCTCAGATCACAGACTCCTGAGTAGCTACAGTTGCAGGCCCAGCTTCACTTCTGGCCTTTTGGTAGCTAATTAGAGATGAGTCTCATGGTCTTTCTTGCCGAGGCTGACTTTGAACAGGGATCTTCATATCTCAGCCTCCTGAGTATCTAAGATTACAGGTGTGAGCCACAGATGTCTGGTTCCTTTGCCCTCTCTTTTTGGAAGTTAGAATCCTTCCTGCACAATGCACCATGGTTTGCTTTGTCACATTCCATTATCTCACCTGCACCCTCCCCCCTCAAATCCCTCAGTTGATTCTAGCTGTCCTCACCAATAGTCTTTAATGCACTCAAAAACTCAGGGGAACAATTGATTATGGGCAGGGAGAATCATTACAGCTCCAGATTACTGAATTCCTTTCTGTAAGAAAGTTAAGGACAAAAGAATCAGTGTAATCACACTGGTCATCACTATCAAAAATGAAATACTAAGCTAGGTCCTGGTGGCTCACCTGTAATCCTGACTACTAAGGAGGCTGAGATCTGAGGATCACAGTTCAAAGCCAACCTGGGCAGGAAACTCCTTGAGACTCTTATCTGAAATAAACCACCAGAAAACCGGAAGTAGCACTGTGTCTCAAGTGGTAGAGTGCTCGCCTTGAGGGACAGCACCCAGGCCTAGAGTTCAAGCCCCACAACAAACGAAAGAAAGAGAAAGAAAGAAAGAAAGAAAGAAAGAAAGAAAGAAAGAAAGAAAGAAAGAAAGAAAGAAAGAAAGAAAGAAAGAAAGAAAGAAAGAAAGAAAGAA